TAATTTGGAGGTTGAGGAGGAAGGAGGTGGAGGAGGAGGTAGGATGAGGAGGAGGAGGGGGTGGAGGAGGAGGAGGAGGAGGAGGTGGAGGAGGAGGAAGTAGGAGGAGGAGAGCATGTACCGACGTAGTCCATCCAACAGGAGTGTGGAAGTTAAGCCTCGGAATTAGAAAGAGAGGACCCCCCAGCCATTTTCTCACATCGGGGGGAGCACAGCCCCCAGCGGTGAAAGATGCATAATTCTCCCTCCCATCGGTACATTGTGACACCCCTTGCCGTTTCATTTTCTGCCACCTGCTGTAATTCGCGTGACGTCAAGACGTGGCTCCAGCGGTCTTGGGCAGCTCAATCATGCATCATTCTTGGCCTTACATTTCTTTAGGAGAGATTCTTGGACTCATCCGTGCATAATTATGGTCGGGGCTTTTTTGTCAGCGTGCCGCTCCGCCTCTTCTGGCCCACCACGATTCGGCGAGACACGCTGCTCACTTCCCAGTCCCCAGGCATGAACGTCCCGAGCCGTTCCGAGCCTCCCGCCCCGCGGAGCGGAGCGACACTCTACCCGCTCGCAGGGCACAGCGTGTCGCCGGGGCCGCCGAGACTTGCTAAACCAACAGTTCCTGACCGAAACCTGTCCAACAGGAGCGTGTGCCGGCCCTGCGTGGGCGACGCGCGCGCTGAAGAATCTTCCAGTAGCAACTCAGCGGCGGGCGCTTTTCTGGCCATGACGCTCGGGACCGGTTATATCACAAGAATAACCCAAAATTCTGCTTGCACTGAGGGTTTGTTATTTCTTTTCTGAGGGGCTGTGCCTGTGTGCCGCTCTGGCGGCTATGTAGTCGCCGTCGCCGCCCCGTCGCCGCCTCGTCGCGGTCCGTCGTCTGGGCTGGTGGGGTGGTCTGGCGCTATGTAGTCGCCGTCGCCGCCCCGTCGCCGTCGCGTCGCTGCCCGTCGTCTGGGCAGCGTGGCGGTCTGGCGGCTGTGTAGTCGCCGTCGCCGCCCTGTCGCCGCATCGTCGCCGTCCGTCATCTGGGCCGGTGTGGCGGTCTGGTGGCGATGTTGTCGCTGTCGCCGCTTAAATTGCACAACGTAGATTGCACCGCATACTGCATCACAGAGATCGCACCACATGGATTGCACTGTATTGATTGCGCCACCTAGATTGCACCACATAGGTTGCACAACATAGGTTGCACGAATAGGTTGTCTTTTCTAAAAGGGGATTCGGACCTCCACCACCCCGGGTTATCCGGCCCCCCAGGGGATGTGCAGTTTACATCAGATGTTTCCCCATCGTTCATTTGGGACATTTGTTCGTACTATCCCTGTCAAGCTGGGTTCGACCCCCCCTCCTCATCTCAGCAATGATATAATGCGCGCAATCTCATTTATCTAAGATCATCAATTCTACGCACGCGCGCGCTGTCGCGCGCGCGTGCCGACATCCTTCAAAAACAGACGGTTTCTCAAGGATTTCAACCATGCTTGTCCAGCTGACGTTCAAACAGACATGGTTCAGCAACATGGATGTTCAAAGAAAACTTCCGCGCTTTTGCGATTTCTTAAGACAACCATGGGTTTTTCGTCATTGGCAGAACATGTTGCCAAACGGGTTTCGCGCGCGCATGCTCGTTCGGACGCCCTTGCGCGCTTGCCGTCGCGAGAATCTTTCACAAACCGCGAGACGAAGTACGCGCCGGCTTTGTCGCGCGCGCATGCCGGAATCCTTCAAAACCCTCGGTTTCGTAGTGATGTCAAAACCGAGTGTCCAAAACACATCTAAAACACGGGCGATTTTGCAACATCAGTTTTTCTATTTTTTGTTGAAAAAAAACGTGCGTTCATGCTCCTGCGAATTCTTAAAACAAAATTATGGGGTTTGCACCAGTTTCATGTGTATGACGTTCTGCCAATTGGGCCATGGCGCCGCATTCCGAATTCATTCGCGCGCCCTTGCGCGCGTGCTGGGGAAGCACGTTCCGTGTCAAATAATACCATGAGGGCCGCTCTCGCGTTTCGGCCGCGCGCGCATGTCGAACTCTTTCCAAAACTTTCATCATCGACGCGAGGACGCCGTCATCGTCGCCAGCGTGATCAGCATCGGCGCCGGCACTGGCCGCGCCGCCGTCTCTGTCTCAACATCGTCACCCGCATCGCTATCATCGTCAGCGTGTCCACCGTTGTCAACGTTGCCATGATACCGCGCCTGGCCAAATCGCCGACTCGCACTGAAGTGCCCGTTGGGATGTGTTTAGCGGTCAGCGCCACCGCGGTCGCGTCTGCCACGCGCACGAACTGGCCGCAGGGCGCGCGAGCATGCGCGGCCTAGCGCGGCCGCAGATACACATCAGCAATCACCAAGCACTCATCGCTATCGCCTCCGCATTGGTTTTGCAAACCAAGCTGCTGGTGGGTGGGTGGGATGATTGCGCCAGCAGTGACATCGACAATTCCAAGTTCGGCAAAGCGAATTCCATCACATAGAGTGTAGAACGCCGATTGCAAAACCACGTTGCACCACGTTTACGGCGCAGCCTATATTTGCCATGCCAGTTCCGCCTCATACTGTCAGGAACCCACTGTGCGGCGCCCGCGCTGGCTAACCTGGGTATCGGACGCACGCCTCTGAGGAGGACAGTTTCGGCACTGGTATGTCCTTCCGCGTCCCAGAAAGCTGTCCGTCCGACAGGGTCGCGTGTCGGACTGGCCTGGTGCGCGGGCGGTCGCCGCACTCCAGCGCACCGCAGCATGGCCTTCCTGCTGCTCGGCGGCGGCGGGGGCGCGGCCGCCGTGGACTACGCGGCGTCCAAGCTGGCCGGCCCGGCGGGGCTCTGGAAGCAGGCCGCCCGCGGCGACCTTTTTGTCGGTGCCTGTAGGATCCGCGCGACCGAACTCGGTACGAAGGTATGGGCTCGAAGACCGACAGCAGTTCTGGTTCATTCTGAGCAGGGCTCGCCGTCGGTGCCGTCGCGGACGTGGCCCGCTGGAGGCAGAAGGTCGCCTCCCGACAGCGGCCGCGATCGGCTTTGGACGACATCCGTTGCGGGGCATCGTGCCCCTCTCTCTTGTTCCCGCTTCGCGCTCCCGGATCGGCGGGCTGGACACCGAAGACGGCCTCTGCTGGGCCACGCTTGGCCCGCACCGGGCCCTGCACACTCTGGCCTTCCTCGCGCTGCCTGTTCCCCCGCCCCCTGCCCGTATCTTACCAATTTGAAGCATATCCCTATCCCCAGGTTTGGCATCGCCTCACCTCGATGCCGATCTTAAGGACGCCCTCAGTCTCTGAGGGCCTGTCCCTATAGATTGTCCTCGCTTGTTGCTCGCCCATCTTAAGGATAGGGATACGTTCGAGGCTGGTTAGTATCCCTCTCCTCCCTCACCGGAGGGGGCGAATGCGGTCCAAGTCTGGCCCAGGTCTGGTCGCACGTGTGTTCGAAGTCCGTGTCAAGTCAGGCCCACGTCTGACAGCGTTGGGGTTGCCACGTGGGCTCCCGCGGGACGGGCGCCGGAGGAGGTGATCGATTCGGACGCGGGTCGGTGGGAGTACAGCTGGCACGGGGGCCAGGAACAATTTCCGCGGGCGAAGAGCATATCCGTATCTGCGGCCTCGCGGGCCTTGACCCCGCAGATGCGGGGTGCTCTTTCGCGGATGCCCCGCGCGGGAAGCCTATCCGCGCGACCGCGTATCCACGAGATCGCGCCCCCAGAATCCAGTAGGGCGTTGCCCCAGTGGGCCCCGGAAACGGCAGGGCCGTTTTTGCATAGTTTCCGAAACATTGTCTCTTGAACGTGGACGGTGTACAACAAAAACGGCAACAGGAAACGGAACGCAAACAACTCTGGGAGCGGAACCCGAACCAGAACCGGCAAAACAACGGCGCCGGAACCGGCAAGAGAACGGCGAGACGGAATTGGTAAAAGAGCGGCCATGTCGTTTCCAGGGCCCGATCTAAGGGCGTGGATGTGGACACGTTCGCCGCTCGCGAAGCCCAAGTCTCGGAGGGGTGCTCTTGTGATCGTGTTTTTATTCATTGTTTTGCCGATTGGCCTGGGCCCTCGCACCCCCCCTCTCCCCCCCCCCTGGAGTAGATCTCGGCTGTTTGGGGCCCCTGTTTCAGGCAGGTGGAGCCTCCCCTCGTAGGACGCACTGCTCCAAGCAGCCGCACTGAGCAGAGGTCCAGAGCCATGATGGAGGATGACGATTGATAAATGACCGGGGGTCGTGTTCCCGCGGCGGCGCCCGGGATGACGATTAGAAAAAACCGGCCCCGGGCTGGAAAACTATGTTTTAAAATCGTTCTCCTCCAGTCAGAAAATTGTGCAGAAATGCCAGAAAACCATTTTTTGATCGTTCTCCTTCATTTTTTTATTAATCGTCATCCCGCATTACCCCCCCCCTTCCGCCCACTGTCGAAGCGCCGAGTACGAAAGCGCTCACCTTGTGTCCTTCGCCTTGGGGCCCGCACCGTGCCATGGGCTTGGCTCTTGGTACCTCTCCGTGGGGCTGCTCGAGCCTTCGGCGGAGAGGCCCGCGCACTTGCTCCGCGTCCTCGTGTCGGCTCCAGACAGGAGGAGGAGGAAGAAGAGGAGGAGGAGGAGGAGGAGGAGGGGAGGGGGAGGAGGAGGAGGAGGAGGAGGAGGAGGAGGAGGAGGAGGAGGAGAGGAGGAGGAGGAGGAGGAGAGGAGGGAGGAGTAGGAGGAGGAGGAGGAGGAGGAGGAAGGAGGAGGAGGAGGAGGAGGAGGAGGAGGAGGAGGAGGAGGAGGAGGAGGAGGAGGAGGAGGAGGAGGAGGAGGAGGAGGAGGAGGAGAGCGGGACAGGATGGTTGGGGGCGAAGCACGCCGCCTGCGGCTGGTGTCGGCCCCGCCGCCGGTCGGAGTCCTCGATGTGTGGGCGCTGGAAGGCATCCGGACATCCAGCCCAGAGAAGGGGATCGGATCGGACGAGATGTGGTTACGTTTGAGGGGAGGAGGGTGGGGGGTGCGGAACATGTTTTGCCAGGGACCATGAGACTGCTCGAGTCTTTTCGGTGCGAGTAATGTACCCCCTTCGTTTACGATGTGTAATTGAGGCATCTGGTCAATGCAAACAGCTACTCACCACTAGTACAAGAGAACAATCTTTTCTACTGAAGAGCGCTGTTTCCCAAAAGAAGAGAGGGCTGCACGCAGGCTGGCATCGGCTCCGCTGTCGGCCAGGTTCCTCGATGCGTGGGCGCCGGGAAGCGCCACGAATCTTTTTATTGGGCGCCGCGTAATGGGGGGGTCATAAATGGGGGGGTGGCAAGGGTGGTTCGAAAAGGTACCCAAACGGTACCTAAACGAGCCCCCTGGGGCTCTGGAGGGGCCCGCGAGGGGCACGAAAGGGGACCTTTCCTGCCCCCTCCGTTTATGACCCCCCCATTAAGTCCCGCCCGATGTTATACGTCAGCGGATTCGGCACCCCCGCCCTCTTTTGAGCGGAATGCGCGCCTCCAGGAAGCGATCATTGGAAGCCTTGCTCGAGCAAGACGAGCTCGAAAGCTTGCGCGGCAGAAGAGCAATCGTGCCGGAAGATTGGCTGCGCGCAAAAGGAGCTTGCCCTGAAGTTTGGTGCAGAAGCGGGTGGGGTCTCGGCAGCGCGCCCGCCGCCCTCGGGCTCCCAAGGCCGCCTCCCGGGCGGGAGCCGCCGGCCGCCCCCCCCCCCCCCCGTATGGCCGAGGCCGGAGGTCGCTCCGAGGGCTGCCTGGCCAGAATGCTCCATGCCAGGGGGGGGGGCTTCGGGGATCAGCGCTAACGGAGGATGACGGAACTGGTAAAAGAGCGGCCATGTCGTTTCCAGGGCCCGATCTGAGGGCGTGGATGTGGACACGTTCGCCGCTCGCGAAGCCCAAGTCTCGGAGGGGTGCTCTTGTGATCGTTTTTTGATTCATTGTTTTGCCGATTGGCCTGGGCCCTCGCACCCCCCCTCTCCCCCCCCCCCCGGAGTAGATCTCGGCTGTTTGGGGCCCCTGTTTCAGGCAGGTGGAGCCTCCCCTCGTAGGACGCACTGCTCCAAGCAGCCGCACCGAGCAGAGGTCCAGAGCCATGATGGAGGATGACGATTGATAAATGACCGGGGGTCGTGTTCCCGCGGCGGCGCCTGGGATGACGATTAGAAAAAACCGGCCGCGGGCTGGAACACCATCTCTTTTCATCCTTCTCCTCCAATCAGAAAAGTATGCAGAAATAGCAGAAAAGTATTTTTCAATCGTTCTCTCCCATTTTTTTAATTAATCGTCATCCCGCAATATCGGTGTCTGTTTGCCTCAGCACCGCTTCGCCGACCCCCCCTTCCCCATCTCCATCCTGATCCAGAGCCCCCACCAGCTCAGCACCCCAGTTGGGGATGTACCCTTCCAAACCCGAAGGAAACGGCCCATATCCCCATCCGGGGAGGCAAATCGGCTAGCGGGGCCCAGACCACGCCCATACGGGACAGGGGTCGGTTCAACGATGTTCATTATTCCCCGAGTTGCCGTCAACAACGGCTGGGGATGAGACGCTGGTCCCGGTGCACGCTTCGGGGCGTGGGTTCGACGCGGACTCGACTCGAATAGCGACGCGATGGGGCAGACCGGTCACCCCAAGGGGGGCAGCATGACGCCCCCTTGCCCCTGCTTGCCCTCGACGCTCCGCCTTCCAGTCTCGGCCCTTGGGGGGCCATTCTCGGGCCGAAGGGGCCGTCATCGAACGACCCGCGATAAAGATCTGACCTGAGTTGAGCCTCGCAGGCCGCCTCGGAGTGCAGCGACAGGGCCAAGAGGAAGCCGCAGCGCCCGTTCGCCGAGTGGTGGGCCGAGCACAAGGCATCCCCGCTTCTCCTGCTGAGCCTCCCTGCCTCCTTCCCGACACCGCCCTGGGCGTCGGGTTCATTCCTGCTCCGTCCTGGGAAGCCCGTTCTCTTCCAGAACGTCCGACAAGCTGTGTGCAAGTCGCCCTAGAAACCCCGCAGACCCTGTCCGAAGAGCCCACCGAAAACCATTCAGGACCCTTCCTCCCCGCTCATCACCCCCGTCTCGTCTCATCCCCATCCCCCCCCCGGTGATCTTGCGGGAAGCAGCGAGAACACATCCAGAAACGATGGAACACCCTGTTCTCATTCCTCTCTCCCCCCTCCCTCCTCCTGCTTCTTTCGCCCGCAGCACCTGCTAGGATGAGAATCTCTCTTCCTCCCCCCTGGAGGGGTGCAAAGGCAGCGGCAGAGCTTCGCAGCGAGACGGCCTTCCCTCTGGTCAGTGGACACGTTGGTCGCATTGGTTGAGCGCCTCTCTCCTCTGGCTTTCGAAGAAGAAAACATGCCATACATATAAACTGTTGGCGCTCCGCGCGGATTCCTTGGATCCGCACTGGGGCCCCCCGGCGGCGCCTCTGGCGCCGCCCTTGGCGCGCTCCGCGCGCCAGGGAGGGGGGTCCAGCGCAGATCCAAGAAATCAGCGCGGAGCGCCAAAAGCTTGTGTTTACGTAGTTGTTTCTTCTTCTAGTTGCGGCACCCCAGGTGCAACGTCAAAAGCAACATCAACAAACACAACAACAGCAACAACAACAACAACCACAACAACACCACCAACAACACCAACAACAACAGCAGCAGCAACACCAGCAACAACTCTAGACGCTTCGCGTATCCCCACCAGCCCGTCCAGAAACGACGCCCAGGCGAGTAGAGGGTCGTCCTGAGGGGCTTTTCGGCGTCTTGGGTGCCTCGGGGGGGCCTCTTTGGGCCGTTTGGGATCCTCTTGGGGGCCTCCTGGGGGCATCTTGGGGCCATCTTGGGGCCATCTTGGGGCCTCTTGGTGCCTCCTGGGCGCTTCTTGGGGCCATCTTGGAGGAAATCGATCAAAGAAGAGGGGAGCTTCAATTGCTGCCCCCTCTGGGGGCCAAAATGGGGCCAAAACCTCAGTACAATCAATGATTTTGGCTTCCTCGGCGAGGCCGTTTTGGACGCTCTGACCGCTCCCCGCCCCCCCTGTCCAGGTCAGTGGGGAGGGGGTAGGGGGAGGGGTAAACCCCTCCCCGAAGGGGAAGAAGGAGGGGTGGAAGAGGAAACGCTCTAAACCACCGACGCCCAGAGGGCTGGTGGGATTTCAAACACGCCAACAAAAACAGCAGCAACAACAAAAACACCACCAACACCGACAACAACAACAACAACAACAACAACAACCACAACCACAACCACAACCACAACCACAACCACAACAGCGACAACAACACACAAACCAGAAAACACAGATTTCCGTGCGTCGACTGCGAGCGGTCCTCCCCGTCGTCCCCGTCGGCTCTTCCCCCGGTCCGCTCTTCCCTCGCCCGCAGCCCTTGCCTCACCTCGCCTCCTGCCCTCCTCCGTCCGCCCCCTCCTCCTCCTCCCTCCCGCCCCCCTCCTCCCTCCTCTCTCCGCCCCCTCCTTCTCCTCCTTCTCCTCCCTCCTCCTTCCGCCCGCTCCCTCCTTCTCCTCCCTCCACAGTTGCACATTGTGCATTTCCACTTCTTCGAAGGTTCTTTGACTTTGTTGGGGGGGCCAAGATCCTTTCATTTCTAACTGTTCTACCCTGGGCCCCTCCCTGGCCACTAGGGGGCCAGGACCAATCAGAAACGAGCACACTTAGAAATGAGCACGATTAGACATGAACGACGCGTACCACTCTCTTCTCTCCCCTGGTGGCGTCCGGGGAATGCCCGGCCCCCCTCCGCGTTCTGTTTTTTCCACACAGGATTCCCGGGCGGTGGGGTTTCGCTTGGGTCTGTTGTTCAGAATGCTGCTCTCGCTGAAGCGCTGGCCTCATTTTCGGGCTACCGTTCGTTCCGAATCGTGCTCCCGCTGCAGCTCTGGCCTCATCTCCGCGCTTCCGCTCGTTTTGAATCGTGTTTTCCCGCTGCAGCGTTGGTGTCATTATTTCGAGTGCCATGCCACGGCATGGTTTTCGGTCCTTCCAAACAGGCCCCAAATGTAGAAAATGCCCTTCCCCGAAGAAACCATCAGAAGTGATTACACATTCGGTGTCGATTCGTTGGTTTTTTGGGCCGCGGAAGCCCCCCCCACTTTGGGGCGTCGCCACGCCATGCTATGCCAGGCTGCGCGTCCTCATTTCCACGTTTCCGCGTTGAGTTCGTTGTTCAGAATGCTGCTCTCGCTGAAGCGTTGGCCTCATTTTCGGGCTACCGCTCGTTCCGAATCGTGCTCCCGCTGCAGCTATGGCCTGATGTCCGCGCTTCCGCTCGTTCCGTTGGCGTCATTATTTCGAGTGCCATGCCACGGCATGGTTCTTGGTTCTTCCAAACAGGCCCCAGAATGTAGAAAATGCCCTTCCCTGAAGAAACCATCGGAAGTAATTACACATTCGGTGTCGATTTGATTTTTTGTCCCGCAGAACCCCACCCACTTTGGGGCGTCGCCACGCCATGCCATGTCAGGCTACGCGTCCTCATTTCCGCGCTTCCGCGCTTGTTTGTTTTCGAAATGCTGGTCTCGCTGAATCGCTACCCTCATTTCCGGGCTACCGCTCGTTCCAAATGGTGCTCCCGCTGCAGTGCTGGCCTTATTTCCGCGCTTCCGCTCGTTCCGAATCGTGCTCCCGTTGCAGCGTTGGCGTTATTATTTCGAGTTCCATGCCCCGGCATGGTTTTCTGTCTTTCCAATAGGCTCAAATTTAGAACATGGCCACCCGAAGAAACCATCGGAAGTGATTATTCATTCGGTGTGGGTTCGTTGATTTTTGGGCCGCAGAAGCCCCCCTCCCACTTTGGGGCGTCGCCACGCCATGCTATGTCATGCTACGCGGTGGTTTTCGACAGCATGCTATGCCATGTAATGTTATCCCCGTGCTGCGACATCGGATTGTGCGAAAAGAGAGGATATCTACGCCATGGTAAGGGACGGGAGTGGGGGGTCGGACGTTAGACATGACGCGAGCGCCCCTAGCTTGCCCCTCCCCCCTCCCTCGTCTCCTCTCCCCCTGCTCCCTGCCTCCCCTCTCCTCTTCGCCCTCCCTCCTCCGCACCTCTCCCGCCTCCCTCCTTCCTTCTCCCGCCTTCCCCTCCCTCCTCCCCTCCCCCCTCTCACCTCCCCGTCGTCGCCGTCGCCGTCGTCCTCGCCGTCCTCGCCGCCGCTGCCACAACGTCCTCATTGTCCCCGTCGCCGTCCTCCTCGTCGCCGTCGCCCTCGCCGTCCTCGCCGCCGCCGCCATGCGCAGGGCGCCCGCCGCGACGACCACGGCCGCTGCTGAAGACGACGACGCCGCCGCTGACGACGACGACGACGTCGACGACGGCGACGACGACGGCGACGACGCCGTCGGCAACGGCGCAAACGGCGCCAACGGCGACGACAGCGACGACGGCGACGGCGACGCATCCACGTCGTATCCACGCCGCGGAACAGGTCGCAGCGACGCCGCGAGGCATCGACCGCAGCCCTGGATCCCACCGTTCCGCGACACTCCTTCGAGCCGCATGGGCGACCCCCGAGGGCGCCGAGGCCCGCGGCATGGGGCGAGGCGCCCGCTGCAGCAAGAGAGGGAGAGAGCGGCGACGCCAAGGTCTCGGGCGGGGGGCGGCGACGGCGGCTCGGGCAGGAGATCGTGGGAGCCCGGCACGTCCTCGCAGCTCCCTCTCTGGAGTGCGTCAGTCGGGGGCGGAGAAGAGGGGGGTGATGACTAGGGGGGGTGGGTCTCATGGCGGGGGCCACGATGTTTCCCCAGATCTCATGGCGCCTCGTCTCATTTCATTACGTCCCTGCCCCCCCCCCGCTGGGCCGCACACACATGACGCCGGTCATGATTTGCACCCCCCCCTCTTGGACATCCCCGCTCTTGGCCGCTCCCGAGCTAGCGTGCGCCAGCGCTTGACAGTCGACGAGAAGGCGCTGATGCAGCGTCGATGTTTGCGCCGATCTGGCGCCGATCAGCTTCGACGAGGGTCGATTCGCACAGGCCAGCAAGATGGCACGGGAGGCTCCGACCAGTTGCCACCGAAGAGGGAGGCGGGCTTCGCGCAGGCGAAACATCGGGCTCTCCAGGAGCGTCGAGGACACTGGGGGGTCGAGGGCAGGAGTCGGTGTTTTTTCGAGTTTTCATGACCCCAGACCTCTCCCATTCCTTTCCCAGGACCCGCTTCTCGCCCCAGGGCCCAGTAAGGGTTCCCAGGGGCCCACAGTCACCCCCCCACCAAGCCACCCCTAACCCAACCCGAAGGCCCCAACCTGCCCTCCACTGCCCAAGGTGGGAAGGGGGGGCGTCGGGGAGAAGCAAAAACACACGTGCAACCCGTGCCCCCCCCCCATCCCGAAATTTTAGCCTTCGGGGTAATTTCGAGTGGTCTGATAGGTAGAGTCGCAAAACTTACGGTTGCCACCGCAGGCGACCGCGTGCGCCGCCTCCCTCTTCTTCTGCCTCCCAGCTCCTCTGGCCTTCCTCCCTCCTGCTTCTTCTCCACCTCCACCTCCTCCTCCTCCTCCTCCTCCTCCTCCTCCTCCCTCCTCCTCCTCCTCCTCCTCCTCCTCCTCCTCCTCCTCCCTCCTCCTCCTCCTCCTCCTCCTCCTCCTCCTCCTCCTCCTCCCCTCCCCCTCCTCCCCCTTTCCTCCTTGTCGTCCTCCTCCTCCTCCTCCCTATCCTCCTCCTCCTCCTCCTCCTCCTCCTCGTCTCCTCCTCCTCCTCCTCCTCCTCCTCCTCCTCCTGGTCCTCCTCCTCCTCCTCCTCCCTCCTCCTCCTCCCTCCTCCTCCTCCCCCTCTTCCTCCCCCCCCCCTCCTTATCTTCCTCCTCCTCCCCTCGTCCTCCTCCGCCTCCCTCTCTTCCTTCTTATCCTCCTCCTGCTCCTCCTCCTCCTCCTCCCTATCCGATCTATCCTACCCTATCCTCGTCCTCCTCCTCCTCCTCCTCCTCCTCCTCCTCCTCCTCCTCCTTCTCCTCCTCTCCTCCCTCCTCCTCCCCTCCTCCTCCTCTCCTCCTCCTCCTCCCTCCTCCTCCTCCCTATCCTATCCTCCTCCTCCTTTTCCTCCTCCTTGTCCTCCTCCTCGTCCCTCCTCCCTCCTCCTCCTCCTCCTCCTTCTCCCCTCCTCCCTCTCCTCCTCCACCTCCTCTCCTCCTCCTCCTCCTCCCTATCCTCCTCCCTATCCTATCCTCCTCTCCTTCTCCTCCTTCTCCTCCTCCTTATCCTCCTCCTCCCTGCTCCTCCTTCCTCCTCCTCCTCCTCCTCCTCCTCCCCTCTCCCCTCTCGTTCTGCTTCTTCCTTCTCTTCCTCCTCCTCCTCCTCCTCCTTCTCCTTCTCCTTCTCCTTCTCCTCGTGTTCCTCCTCCTCATCATCCATATCTTCCTTCTCCTCCTCGTCCTCCTCTACCTCCCTATCCACTCCTCCTCCTCCTCCACCTCCTTGTCTTCCTCCTATTCTATCCTATCCTATCCTATACTATCCTATTATATCAGATCCTATCCTATCTTTTCCTTTCCTGTCCTTTCCTGTCCTTTCCTTTCCTTGCCTTTCCTTTCCTT